CTTCTTCTTCCTGGGATGAACAACCCCTTCACTGGAGGAAAAAGGCAGCGCACCCGCCTGGGCAAAGGCGAAGGCTGTCAAATGCAGAGTTTGACAGGTTCTTTGCACTTGGCTACTGCTGCTTGGTCTGTCTTCGGGGAATGGGGGGCTAGTGGGCAAGGTAGCTCGCTTGCCCCACATGCCAGCAAAGGCAGAGGGAGCTTGGCCAAAGAGCCCCAAGGTCCTCCTGCTCCAGCACGAGTGGCAGGGGACTTGAGGCTGGCTTCGCTGGGGGCAGGAGCCTTTCCGCCCCCCGGCTGAGAGCAAGCTGGGGCCAGCTGTATTTGCCACAGCCCGCGAGGCACTGGGGTGAAAGCACCTCAGCTCTCACGATGAGAGCTGTCGCAGTTTCACCTGGCATCTCACCGGCTGGGGCAAATGCAGTTTTTTTCAACATCATGGTATATCACCAAACCACGGTGTTTGGCTGGTGATGCACCGCAATGTTGAAAACCCAACATCGCCCAGCCCTAATAATGTGATAAGTCCTCCCATGGGGCCTTTTCAGATCAGGCAGTCAGGAAGGCTGTAGAGTGCTGGGCAAACATTTGAATGGGAAAAGAAACTCGCACGATACTCACAGCCACCTCACAGTGATCAGGTAAGCTCAGCTTCACACACCCCTAAAATTATAAAGAAATTCTAAAGTGCCCTGAGAAAGGGGTTGAAGAATTGAAGTTTCTTTTGAGAGGGAAGAATACATTTGAGAAATTGGAGGGTACAGTCACTTATTGAAATGTCACTGAAAATCACAGTCAAAGCGAGTTTGAAAGTCCTTCCACAGGCAAACCTCTCACAAATTATGAGGGAAGCCAAAAATGAATTTCAGGAAGATGAGTGAAAATTCTCAAAGGAGTTATGTGCTTTGTTAGCCTTGTTAGACAAGTTTTATACCTGATATTCCCGGTCTTCTTTTTTTGTAATGGAACTTCAATGGTGGTGGTGACTGCTGCCTTTTCCAGGGTACCCAGAATTGCCAGGAGGTCCCTTTTCAAAGATGCTTAGGTAGAATTAGAAATGGAGAAGAATTCGATTTTTTTTGCATTTTTTATTGAACTGATCCTAATTTGCACCTTCTAGACCAATACATCAATCAGAATATAATGATCTTTTGAATTTCACACTACTGTATTGCTGTGGGGAAACTCCCAGACCAAAATGTGTTTGAAAATTTTGGAATAGAATATGTTTACAACTGCATGCAATGAGATAAAGACACATTTTTAAAATATACATTCCCACACACATTTTTAAATGAACAAATGAATCACAGATTTTTTTGTAGAAAAGTGATGATTTATGAAGAAACACGTGCAGAATTGACATGCACCCAAAATCTCTAGACCAGCCTTTCCTAACCTTGGTTCCCGAGATGTTGTGGGACTGCAGTTCCCATCATCCTTGAACACTGGCTGTTCTGGCTAGGAATGATGGGAGTTGTAGTCCAACAACATCTGGGGAACCAAGGCTGAGATGCTCCAATACTGAGTCATGGTCCTTCCCCTAATGCAGGCTTCCTCAACCTCGGTCCTCCAGATGTTTTGAGACTACAATTCCCTTCATCCCTGACCACTGATCCTGCTAGCTAGGGAACATGGGAGTTGTAGGCCAAAAACATATGGAGGACCAAGGTTGAGGAAGCCTGCCCTAATGGTACCAACCTTGCACAATTTATGAGAATGAAATTTTGAATAGAGATTATGATGGTGATGATGTGTATATTGGTAGTAACTTGTATACAGCAAGGGGAGATACCAGAAATGGCTCCCCAAATCTTCAGCAATCTTTGAAAAATGCACTGCCGAATGAGATGGCAGTGGGGAGGGGGAGGAGGTCAAGGAAAATCTTCCTGTGTTTTAGAAAATGCATGTGTTTATTCCATGCTTTCACTGTTTATTTGTTTGGTTTTGTGCCAGAAAATTAAGTTCATAAAGGTTCTTATGCAAAAAAGTATACACATATATATCTCTACAGTATGATTAATTAGGTATCCCATATTGTCTTGAAATTTCTAAACAGAAAAGAAAAACAGCCCAGAGCATTCTTAACATTTTGGTTTGCAAAAGATGATTAATTTTAATTTTCAGATGACATAATGAAATTAATTGCTTTCATGTTGTTGAAGCAGAAGGCCTCTAAAACTTGCTATCAGGCTACAAAATGAAAGTAATATGCATGTATATTATGGATTGTGAATGTGACTCTTTCCCAGGCAGGCTAAGGTACTATTCACTCATTTATTTCTGTTTGTTTCCCCCCTATTCCAGTCCTGACATGGAAATATTCTCGGAGTTTGTACGTCAGATCAAACTAATTTGAACACACACTTACTGGAAATGTGTTGTCGTGTGTCATAGATTTGCATCCATGACCAGCACCACCTAGTGGTGGAAATGGAACTGGAGTAAAGAAATGAACAAGAGGAATCTAGAGGGAGCTGGGATTTCTTATTTCAGATAAAGCCCAGGAGCACCTCAGAGGCTTCTTATATCCTCACTGCCAGCTTTTCTCCTCCCTGGCCATCACATGGGCATTCTTACTCTGACTCTGAGCTTCCCACCAGCTCCCCTGCCACTGATTCTTGAGGTCCAAGGGCTGAAGGTCGGAAATTGGGTGTCAAGGCAGGACCTCACCTCCGGAGCTCCCTGTCTAATTAAAATTTAGGCAGGCACCTTTGCTGTATTGTTTTCAGTGCTTGCTAAAACTTTTTTGGTTTAGGAAAGCCAGACTGGATTCACAATTTTAAAATCAATTTTAACATGTTATTTTATTCTGCTGTTGGCATCTGTGTGTTTCAAGAGTCAATGGAGTGTGCCTCCCAGGGTTAGCAGCACCAAAGTGATTTCCAATGGCAGAGCTAGCTGCATGGGTGCCCAGAGCGGCAGCCATGCCATGCACTGGGGGGGGGGTGATCTGTGAGTTGCGCGGGGGGGGGGATGTGATCCACGGAGCACAAAGGCAGTAGTTGAGAGATCCGCGGCGCGCAATGTCAGTGGTGGGCGATCTGCGTGGGGGGGGGGGTGAGCCACCATGCACAGGGGCGGCAGGGTGAGCCCCCGCGGTGTGCCTTTTTGTCACCCCCTCACTGGTGACACCTGGGGCGGACTGCCCCCACTGCCCCCCTCTTTTTTTTTTTTAAAAAAAATCATTTTTATTAATTTTTCCATTTTAACAATCCAATGCAATCACATTAAATATTCCAAATTTAATTTACATATATATATATCAAATAATCCAAATATTCTGCCAAATTATAAATTTTTTACTGGGACTTCCCAAGCTTCAAGTTCGGAGGGTTCTGATCATCTCATATCTCTACTGCTTTTCACAGTCATTTCCTTTTTTTAAATAAATATTTATTAAAGTTTTCACAATATTACATAATGAAAAAGAAAAAATACAAAATAAAAAACAGTTAAAAACAATTCCATCTTTTCGTCACTTATCTTTCATTTGCTTGTTTCCCGGACCTCCTCATACCTCCCTTTTTTGTATTCCAGTTCAATTTATTAGTTCAGCAGTTCCTTTCCCTCCTTATTTTATCCTGATCTTTAATCTTAACATATTATAGCATTAAATTTTTACCTGTTAAAAATCCAATTTTTCCATATTCTATTATACCATTACAGCTAGAAACCACTTAACTTCAATCCAACATCATTCTAACATTCATTAATTTTGCAATATTTATGTAAATAGTCTTTAAATTTCTTCCAATCTTCTTCCACCGACTCTTCTCCCTGGTCTCGGATTCTGCCAGTCATTTCCGCCACATTTCCAATAGTTCCTCTAATTCTTCCTGTTGTTAACCTTCCTTTTTTCACGGCCTCTGAGTTGTTCCCACAAGTGAGTTGAAACAAGCAATGATGTGTTTCTGTGTGGATTTTATGTCCCACTGCCCCCCTTCCTACGCCCTTGGTGACCTTTCCCAGGGCGCAAAAGTATGGAGGTCCTGGGATGCCCAGAGAGCACAATGTGGGCCGAAGGAAATCAGAGCACTACGTTTGGCACCAGCTTGGCTGCTGGAGTTGCTGGAAGCAGGCGCACAAGCACCATCCAACCATCTTAGGGACACCATTCTGGATCTGTGTAGGGCTTAGCCCTTAGTCTTTTCTTCTCTCCAGGATATCCCACAAGGCAGCAGGGGTTTAGGAACAGAGTTTTCCTTCTCCTAGATGGACTTCCTTCCCAGGTTGATGAGCCCCATTTAGCGTGTATATTCATTATATAACTAAATCGTTTATTTATAGTTTGATACATTTAATGCCCATTTGTTTTGTGACATTTGATTTTATCTGAATTTTTAATGCATCTTTTATATTGTTTTATGTAAAAGTGTTTAGAGCCTTTTGTTAAGAGGTACATGAACCTTTTCAAATAAATGATTTAATTTAAGTTGTCAGAGAGGCTGTCAAGGGGCTCAACAAGATGTCAGTGAGGGGTTTGTCAGTTTTACTCATTGTAGATCCACAGAAATGAATGGGCAGTTCATTTCTGGATTGAGTTTAAGGTGTTCACACTAATGCTTGGGGAACCCTCAGGAATGGTGTTGGGGACAGAGTGGTCAAAGACCACCTGAAAGGAAGGGGTTCAAAAGCAGAGGGTAAGTTCTATTCAGAACAGACCCACTGAAATGAATGGACCTATGTTAGCCATGTCCATCAATTTAAATGGGTCGACCATGAGTAGGATTAGCATCGCATGAACCACAGAGCTTCCACATCTGATCCCACTGGACCAGGAAGACCATATGCAAGAAGACACACAGCTTCCTAACTGATGTTATTTATTCAGTTGACCAGTCTCCCCGTCCCTTTCTTGTTTATCCATTCATGAGCACCAGTTTCCAGAGGAAATACAGGTCTGGTGTAACGAAACAATGCTGGAAGCCTGGCTAACTTTATTTTCTCTCCCTTCCTGCATTCCATCCCATCCCCACCCCCCGCTTGAATTTTTTTTAGCAGACAGACGATGCAGCACAGACCGACGGACAGCAACAGACACAATCTTCTGAAAACACAGAAAACAAATCACAGCCGAAGCGGCTGCATGTCTCAAATATACCCTTCAGATTCCGGGATCCAGATCTCAGACAAATGTTTGGGGTAAGTACTTTGTATTATTACACATTTTGCGTTTTTCAAATCTAGCATTTTAAAGTTGTGAACCACCCTGAGATCTACAGATGAAGGGCGGTAAACAAATTTAATAAAGAAATTAAATAAATAAATAAAATACTGGATTACATTTGCATTTAAAAAGAAGAAAAAGGTCCTCTTCAGATTGTAACCTCACACTTACTAAGTTTTGAATGTGCACCACCAGTCCTATAAATAGGGCTCAAGCCAGATGCAACTTCAGGAACATCTCAGTAGCTGCAGCTTCTTTATATGTTCTCAATGGGTCAAGGGGGTCTAGGTCCCACTCCATGGGGCAGGGTCTGTGTCAAGCACTTATTCTTAACCAAGAACCTGTGGGCAGATCCATATCAGACATGTAAAGCACAGACCATTCACATTTAAAACATATGACTCCCCCAAGAATCCTGGGAACTGTAGGTTGTTAAGGATGTTGGCATATATTAAGGGGGTCATATGTTTTAAATGTGCATTGGCTTTGCTTTAAAAGTCTGGTGTGGATCTGCCTGCAGGTTCTCAGCTAAGAATAAGCTGCTGGGATTCTTTGAGGGAAGTCATGTGCTTTAAATGCACATTGAGTGTGCTTTAATTCATGGTGTGGATCTGTCCTCAGACAGTTGAAGCAGCTTCCACGGTTGGTTTCATGGATCCATCAAGACCACCTCAGAAGAAAACAGCAACAAAGGTCGAGTACACAACATACACCAAAAGCAAATTTAACACACACATACACCAAAGAATCCTGGGAACTTCAATTTATCCCCCACAGAGCTGCAACTCCAAATGCCCTTAAGAAACTACAGTTCCCAGGATTCATGGAGGAGGGGGATTGCATTTTCAATATCTGGTGTGTACACAGCCAAAAAGTCATGTACCACATCAAAGACTAACAGATCTGTTTGTGTTTAAGGGGCAATATGACAGATGAAGGCTGCAGTCTGAATCCCCACTTGCCTAGGAGAATCCCCATTGAATTCAACAGGACTTAATTTTGAATAGTTGGTGCAGGGCCGTCTTTAGCATATGGGGTGCCCAGCACCACCAATTTCTTTTGGGGGGGGGCAGGCCAAAAGGGTTGCTTAGCTTTTGGGGGAGCTCAGGGTTGCTTAGCTTTTGGGGGGGTCACACAACTCTCTCCCATGCCGTTGCAAGAGGAGAGCAATCCTTCCCCTGGGTGGGAAGCTACATTCCTCATGTGAGCAGTGTGCACCGGGCAGGCCTCTCGATGGCCCATGATCCCAAGCGTGCAGGAGGGTGGAGCCATCCGGCTGCCTCAGCATCCGCAGCAGAAAAGCCTGCAGCGCTCTGATGGGCTCCACTGCTCGGCAGCGGCTGTCGGCTGGCCTGGCTCTTTAATCCCCGGACTCCAAATCTCGACCCTAGACTCTTGGCCTGGAACCTCTGAGAGCCCAGCGTCCAGGTGCCCTGCACCCCTAGTGCCTATGGGTAAGCTGGCCCTAAGTTGATGAGAGTCAAATGGCAAAAATTGGTCATATAAAAAAGGGGGTAAAAAGGAACCGATGCAGAAATGTGCCAAACTGAATTTAAGATTAGAAAGATGAGAAACCTTGAGAAAACAAGGTTTCTTGCAGTAATCATAACAGGGAACCCCACTTAGGTGTTCCTCCTGCACATGAGATGCTCCCCAGCATGGAACAAGGGTCACACCATCAACCTGAATGGAATCTTCATCTCCACATACACCAAGTGGTGCATAGGAACATGCTTACTTGAAGTGCATAGAGTAGACTGCAAACAGGGATGTTTGTATGTGCAGAGATGAATCCGCTGGTAACTGTTTTTATTAGCTGCACTTCAGAATGCAATTATTTTCCTACACTATAGAATCCTCGAAGTGTTGAAAAATCTTTTTTTGCATTTATATGTTTCTATTGCATTGGTGTGTGTGTGTGTGTGGGGGGGGTATGTTTAAAAATGCTTATGTGATTTCTTCTTCTTTTTTGTTTCCTTGCAGCAATTTGGTAAAATCTTAGATGTTGAAATTATTTTTAATGAGCGAGGCTCAAAGGTAAGCAGTTGAATACACCTGTGGCAATGTTGAATTTGTTTGAAGTATTCAATACAAATAAGAGGAAGCAATTGCAGTGCTGTAATAAACCCTTTCTAAATATCCACTTCAACAGAAGCACCTCTTGGGCTGCTTCCCCCCACCCCCACCCCACTTTCTTTCTTGTCAATTTCCCAAACAGCGTGAAATTCATTGGCCTAATTTTGAATCCCTTTAAAGGGGATAATTTTAACTACGATAAACTGTCACCAGTTAAAGGGGTATATTGCCTTCTGCTTTTAAATATAATCAAGTGTTGTCTGCTGATTCTCTCTCCCATCCCTGATAATTGCCTTACTCATTTGGTGAAATTAGTTCAAGCTTGCAAGGGGGAAAAAAGATTGTTAGAATAGGTATATATTCTGCTCTTGAAATGGAAGCAAGTAATATAATCTAATATCCTCTGGAGTAATTACTTGATCAAGTGTGATTTTTTTTTCCAGATTATGAAAGTGCAGCTGCTGTCCTGCATAGTTAAAACTTTCAAAATGTTGCTAACCTTTTTGAATTCAGTTTCTGTGTTGCTTGAGCAAAACAAGAGACAAAGGCTGCAATCCTTTACCCAGTGATTTAGATCAATGGGACTTACTTTAGAGCAGGTGTGGGGAATGTTTGCCCCTCCAGATATTGCTGAACTCCAACTCCCATCAGCCCCAGCAACCATGGTCAGTCACCAGGGAAGAAGAGAGCTATAGTTCAGCAACATCTGCAATGCTGCAGGTTCCCCACCTCTGCTTTAGAGGCTGGAGTACCTGTGGCCTTTCAGAAGTTGTTGGACTACAACTTCCATTAGACTTGACCCTTGGTGGCTGGGGTTGATGGGAACTGGAGTGCAACAATATCTGGAGGGTCACAGGTTCCTCATCCCTGGTCTACACTGTTTGGAATTGGCTGCTTTAACACCCTTTCCCCAATTTTGCTTAAAAGGGATGCAGCCTGAATCACGGAGTCTCTTAATAGCTGCTTCACTCTTGGTTTGGACATACAGGTTATCCACCCGATGGAGTGCAGAAGTAAGCTTTGGGCTCACATTCTCAGTAGTGGGTGGTGTGATGGAATAGTGGAGCTCACCTTGCTTCTGGTTGGTTGCACTGCGTTGCTTGCTGGGAGTCATAGGGGAGGGGGAAGAGGGAAGGTTGGTGCATTCCAAGTGCACCCGATTGGATGGACGTAGCCAGGATTTATGTTAGGGGCAGAATCTCAGTTAAATATTTCTATTGATTTACTTGATGGGGGCGGCAGCTGCCCCCCTGCCCCCCTTGGCTATGCCCGTGCCAGATGGGCTCCAGCGGTGTGTTTGCGTGGTGCCAACCACATCCGTCCCCCCTTTATCTCCTAGTAAACTCCAATGATGTTGCCAACTGGGGGTCAGGTAAGCCCTGCCACCCCACTCCACTATCTCCTACTCTTCAACATTCATATAACCAGTAATGAAAGTTGAGGCCTTGGTGTGGCACTGTGAGTTTGACCTGTGAGACCTACACTGTTCTCATCTATTAGCATGAGGATGGGGAGTCGTCTTCTGCACCATGTCACATGGATAATCTAGGTGCCCAGACCTTGTGTGAATTGCCTGTAGGAAAGGAGAGGTAGTCCTCAGTTGCTGGCCTCCATCTGAACATGGACATTTCAGTACCAGAAGCCCTTTGCCCTTTTTTGCCCATTTAGGCTTCGCCCATGTCCCTGTCCCATTCTCCCACTAGGAAAGCAATTCTGACTGTGCACAAGGGAGATTTCACTGTGATTTTGGTGCTACTGCTGAGGGCAGAATCCTAAGATCTGTTGTACCTGCACTACCTGAAGAGTCCATATACCAGTATTACAGAAATGGAATGGATTCTCTTCAGAGCATGCTACCCCACACAGGAGGTCAACGCCTTCCATTTGAAAGAAAACTTGTCTGTCCCCCTCCAGATGTTATTAGATTCCATCTTCCATCAGCCAGCATGGCTTTGGTCAGTGATGAAGGGAGATGGTCTCCAACAACATCAGGGGCTCATATGTTCTCCACCTCTGTTTTAAAGAATACAGTTCTATACCCTCCCTCCCTTCTAGTCATGCAGTTTTATTCTGAGGGAGGAGAGTTAACAGGGGTGGGAATGTCTAGTGTCTCACGTTGTTTGAAAAGTTGGACTATATTTATGTACACAATGTTTTACTTGACTTTTTTGTAATAACTGAAATATTAAATTTCTCTGTCAGTACTAGATGAGATATTTGGAAGCTTAAAGTGCAAGTTCATATCTGTTGGAACATTCATTTAATAACGGTAGCAAAGTTAGATGGTATGAATTGCTTAAAGCACTATACTAAGCAAATGCTGAATTAGTAATGCAGAATTTTGCACTGCTGGGTGGAATCAGTCCCGCCACTTCTACCTTGGTGCAAGATGGGAATCATGGCTACACAACTCATTTCATTGCAGGCAGTAGATGGGGGAGGACAGCCCAAAGCGGCTCTGCTTAGAGGCAAGATCCACAGGCAAGGAGCATGGCAAAGTTATTCTATGAGGGCTGGAAAGAGAGGTACTCAAGGTCCCCCAGAAAAGCCAGGGGTTATGGTTGATCTATATTTGTGTCAGCCATGCTCTGGTCAAGTTAGGGAAGAGGCAAGGTTAGGGAGGAGGCAAGGTCCTTGGCCCAACATGGTGCCCCTCTGGATGCTTTGGACCACATCCCCCAACATCCCTGACAATTTGTTGTGCTGGCTGGAGCTAGTGGGGCTGGTGGGAACATCTGGAAAGCACCAGACTGGGGAAGGCAGTCAGCGGTGAAGCAGAGTTCTCTGGCAAGGTGGCTTAGGCAGGGAGAAGAGATAAAGATCAGAAGCACAGACCAAAGGAAGGGGCTCAGCTCACGAGTAAGAGCAGGTTCAATTCCCCGCATCTCCAGTTGGACTGGAAATGTCCTCTGTGTGAAACCCTGAGAAGCAACTGCTGGGGAATATGTGGTTCCTCCAGATGTTGTTGAACTTCACCTCCCATCATCCCTGAACATTGGCTGTGATGGTTGGGGCTGAGAGGAGTCCAGCAATAACTGGAGGTGGAGAGATTCCCCACCCCCTGGGCTAAGGCATCTCAATCCTAGTGTTGTGTCCTTGGGCTTGCATTGTGAAAATATGTGGTTCTGAAGAAATCCCCGTGAAGGTCATCATACTGAGATTGCTATTACTGTGTTATTCTATGATCATAATTCCAGAGAGAACAAGCGAGAGTTTACTTAGTTTTCCATTGAGACTCTTCAAGTTCCCTTATCAGGCATGAGTCCATGGACAACCAAGAATAAGTGCACAGATCTGCTGCCTGCTTTGAAATAAATGGAAGCCTTTCTTGTAGGTGTTGGTGGTGAATCCAGAGCATTTATTTAAATTCCCATTCTGATAAGAATGACTGGGGTAAAGCAGGCTTCTCTCCTCGGTCTAGGAGTGCTGATTTTTGCAGTTGCCATTTCATTAGAAGTGAGTTGCCAGAAGGGTGCCATGGGTTGTATCCAATAGTAATCTTACTCAGACGAGACCCATTGAAATGAATTGACATACCAAACCTAGGTTCATTCATTTCAATGGGTCTACTCTGAGAAGAATTCAATTGGCTATCACCCTTTCCTTATGAGTAGCCCACAAGCTTCAGGTGTCCTCAAGGGGTGTGGCAGCTGCTGAGATCATCACAAACTGCACCTTTGGAGGCTACTGCTTGATTCCTGCTGCCTGGGGATTGCAAAAGTTGGTGACCTGCTTCCACCCAAAGTATAGCACTTTAGGCAAATCTATACAGATTTTGGAGCAACAGTGGGCTCATTCATATACAGCCCTAGCATACATATCCAATGTGCAGTGGGGGGGTTGTTGGGGGAAGATGCACATTTTCAACCCCACCACCAGCATCTTAGAGAGGTTGTTTAGTGTGAACCTGGACCATCCACCGTCATCTTTACAGTGGAGAAATGACATGGGCACAAATGATATGTGCACAATATAGGTCTTGGTTTACACTAAACATCTGATGTGTGTGTTGATAGTGGGGTGTTGCAGATGTGCAAGGTGTGCTCACCCTCCACTGCATGTTGTGCATGTATGCTAAGCCTGTATAACAATCAACCCAGAACCTGATGCATGGACATTGTTATTATTTTAAAATGAAGTGAATAAGGAGGATGAAAACATGGTCTCATTCAGAGATACCCAACATGGTGTCCTCCAGACGTTGTTGGGCTGCAACTCCATCAGCCTTAGCCAGCATGACAATGATGGTCTGAGATGATGGGAGCTCTAGACCGATAATCTCTGAAGGACACCATGCTGCCTGCCTCTGGCCTAGCCAAACCTGGGTCGAGCTGTTTGCATTTCTGAATTCTGTTCTTTATTTATTCATGTCACACAATTATGTTTGATCTTTTTCTAAGAGTCAGGAAGTTTCTGCTCAGTTCCAAGCCCTATTTTCTTTCATTAGCGGTCCTTGCATTTTGTTTTGTTTTCCTGAGACCCCTCCTTTTTTTCTTTTTTCTTTTCTTTAAAGACAAAAAAAGTAAATATTATAGATTTCACCAAAATTTATAAAAACAACCCTAGTGTGTTGCATGTGAAAAATATGTTTCTTTGCTTCACAATGGCATGAAGGAACTAGTCCAAAGTTCTAGATGAGGTTTGCATTTTGGTGTTGAAATTTGTGCACAAAGTTTTGGTTTGTCTTACTATTTGGTTGAGTCGACTCTGCATGCCATTCAAAGTGAGCCAACTTTCTTTTCCCTCGCCATTCCCTTTTTATTTGTTTGTTTGTTTTCCTATGTGATGACATGGTTCCATTGGTTTAGGATTTTCCTTTCCTTTGTTTTTTGTTAGATTTCCTTCCCTCCTCCCCCCCGCCCCCCGCAGCGACAATTTAGATAACCAAACCAATAAATAAAAGCGAAAGGTATTTGGTGTTCATCCTTTGACTTTCTTCAGGGGATATTTAACTGATGAAAAGAGAGACAGAGAGAGAAAAGTTGTTCACGTTGGTCGCTTTATTAATTGCACATCTCGGTACGATTATAATTTTTATTTTTCTAATTTGCATGTTGCAGAAATGAAGAAGGAACAAGAACCTTTTTAATTAAAGAGAGAGAGAGAGGGAGAGAGAGAGAGAGAAAGACAAAGAAAATAAGCAAAGAAGTGGTCATTGTCTGAAATAATGATATGCACGTTATTTTCCCCCCTTCTCCCACCTGCATGCAGGGATTTGGTTTCGTTACTTTCGAAAATAGTGCTGATGCCGAAAGGGCGAGGGAGAAATTACACGGCACCGTGGTAGAGGGCCGTAAAATCGAGGTGCATGTTAAAAATATTTTCCTTTTCATCTTTTTTATAAATGTCTGCCTCACTCTCATTTGTTGTTTCAGATGCATCATAAGTGTCTCTGGTGTGCTTCCCCTTTCCCTTCCCATAGTTTTTTCTATATATATATATATATATACATATGTATATAGATTCATATATGTATACATATATATTTATTTTTATATATATACATATATACACACACACACACATATGTATGTATATATAAATAAAGATAATTTGGCCTTCCTTGGGTTTACTTTTAATTTTCCTTTCTTTTCTTTTTATTTTACTTTTGGATCAATTTATTTTGTAACTCTTACCATCATCCTTATTGCTGAAAGCTGTATGGCAGAAGTGTGAGAAGCTTTTAACCGTTTTGCTGTGATCTGAAAGGTTTTGTTAACTCAATGGGTGCAATAGATTTTTTTTTTAAAAAAAGGAACAAAAATTGGAAAAAGAAAGAAAACCACACCAAAAATTAAGCGACAAAGCAAAAAAATAATAACAAAAATTAAGGTTGTTTTTGATTTATTTTGATTTCTTTATTTCTTTCTTTATTATTTCATTTGTTTGCTTTCACTGCAGGGTTGAGGCAGGATCTACAGTGGCTTTCAAAACTATTCCCATTTGGAAATCAAATAAATTCTGCAAACTTGGGGGTGGGGGACGGGTTGGAGTCTAAAATGTTGGTTTTCATTTTGGACAAATTCCCAGTTAAATTTTCCATCGGGGGTGTAATGGGAGGGGCTAAGCCTATGAATATTTATTTATACCACCACTGGATCCCCTTCAACACTGAATTGTATTTGTTAGAATTTTAAAAGAAAAAGAGAGCGAGAAAAAAACAAAACCAATTGAAAATGCTGTCGTCTTTTGAGTAAGATGTTGCATGTTTTGCCTTTTCCATTTTCCCCTCCTTCGACGGTAGCGCTTAGGGCCCTCACCAAACTCTCAGTAACCATGGTAACTGTATACATACCCCATGCTGGCGATGGTGCTGAATGGTAAGTGGGAAAGTCCATCCGCCGTTTCACGTATCTTTTTAAAGCGCTGATATATATATATATATACCACGTGGATTTTTTTGACTTGTCGTATTAAGTTTTCTTGATGCTCTCTTCTCTATATTTTTTTATCTATATCGGTACGCCTGTAAATTTGAGTGTCTGTTTTAAGCAAGCCTTGGAGACACTGACTGGATTGAGGATATGACTTTTGCGCACATCTTACTCAGATTGTTAACTTCCATATTGTGTTAAATAATGCACCCTCTTTTTTATCCTTTTGTTAGCTGTGGTTTTGAAAGCTTGAATGATTTTGTTAGTTTTCTTGCAATGAATCAAATGAGGCTCATGTCTTCCCAGTGTTGAATGCTACATGTTGCTTCCCCCCAATGAATCCTCTCTTTGAAAGGGTTATGTTGCACAATGCTAAGATCCGTTTGTCCTTTTTATTTATTTATTTCCTTCCTTTCTTCCTTTTGGAAATTTAATTTATCCCCCTGTACCTTGTCTCTTCCCCCCTTCTACTCCACTGCATGCCCCTTCATACAGTGTTTTTCCTTTTTTCTGTTTTGAAATATTTTGTTGTTTCAGTGATACCATGGAACAAGATGCATGCTTTTAAATCTTCAATTATGCAAAACCTTTTTTAATTTGCTTTTAATGTCTCTTTATTAAAGTTTAAAGGAGATGATGTTATTTTATTGAAATGATTTGGAAGTGTTTTTTTATATAAATACAAATGGCAATGACAGTAAATGTAATTATAAATAGTTTTTTTTTTCTTTTGTTATGCACTTTCTGCTATTTCTTATTATTTTTTATTTGGGGGGCATATATTAAATTGCATTTATACATGACTAATACCAATAGTAATGCATGCCTTTCATTAGTATCATGGACATTCCTCTATTGCAGAAATGGCACTGATTTACTTTTCTATGTGCTTAGGTAAATAATGCGACAGCTCGAGTCATGACAAATAAGAAAACAGTCAACCCTTATACGAATGGTAAGTACATGAAATTTGTATTCTGGGGGTATTCCTTTTCCAATGTTCTTGTTATTGCTTTATTTATATACTGCTTTTTTGACTCAAAGTGGCTAATGGCAGATCGATGGGAAAGACAGATACGAAAAATGCATAAGAATATAAACAATCTAAAATAGCAAAATCACCCAATAGCCATCAATCACTTTTATAAGTTGTAATCATGCTCCCATCACAGACATGATCCACATCATTCCATCTCCCACTGGGAAGCCAAGTTAGCTCTCTTCTACCTTGGAGAAAGCTCTCCCTCAAACCAATCACCCATCTGCCTTTCCTGGACACAGCCAGGATTCAGCCGTCTGGGAAAATCCGGATGTATGGCAACCCATGTTGCAAGTGTTAAAAAAAGCTCAACACTTTTTGAAATATGGCAGCCCTAGTCATAACCAACTTGCTTTGGAAGCAACTCTGCACTTTCCTTGTCCTGCCATCTTCTGCTGTGGCAGAAAACTGTTACTACAACCATCACCTTCCCTGGTTGGCTTTTCTGGAGTTGGTTTGAGCCTCTGAATGCTTCTTGAAGCTTCAGAATTAGACATATCGGAGCTTTCCATTTGGCCTATGTCCATAACCCTGTTGCTTTCTGAACAAATATCTTGTTTCCCTGACTCCCCTCCAGGGAAAAAAAGATGAAAGGGAAACTTTACACAGCTGATCAATAAAGCCAGCTCCCCATCACCAGCAGAGGCAGGCATCAGCCATGAAATAAAATGGACCTTGGCTTTCTTTCCCCCCCTTTCCCCTACTTTTCAGAGATCATTAATGAGATGGCTTCCATCATCGAAAGTGGGGGAAAGAGAGGAGGGTGGCTTTATTTTTTAATGACCTTGTCATATTTATCTCTCCCCATTGTGGTAAAATGAAAAGTAAAATAAAATAAGCACTTGCAGTTTGACATATAGTTATTAAGCTTGTAACAATAAATCATGGTGTTGAGGAAGCTCTGGAATTTCTTCTGCTTTCTTTCCAGGGGAAGCCCTCTTTCTCCCCCCCCCTCCCCTACACCACCTCTATCTGCGTATATTTGGTCCAAGTTATGCAAATAGTCAAATGGGATGCGGGTGGCGCTGTGGGTTAAACCACAGAGCCTAGGGCTTGCTGATCAGAAGGTCGGTGGTTCGAATCTGTGACAGGGTGAGCTCTCGTTGCTTGGTCCCTGCTCCTGCCAACCTAGCAGTTTGAAAGCACGAAGTGCAAGTAGATAAATAGGTACAGCTTCAGTGGGAAAGTAAATGGCGTTTCTGTGCGCTGCTCTGGTTTGCCAGAAGCGGCTTAGTCATGCTGGCCACATGACCTAGAAGATGTACGCCGGCTCCCTCGGCCAATAAAGCGAGATGAGCGCCGCAACCCCAGAGTCGTCCGTGACTGGACTTAATGGTCAGGGGTCCCTTTACCTTTACCTTTATGCAAATAGTCATAATTTCATTTTGCCCAAGCATTTCTGAAATACAGGCAGCCCCTCATTTATGCAGGGGCTACGTTCCGAGCAGTGCTATTTTCCTAGAAAAAGAGGTGCCAGAACGCACCATGGACACCTCCCTGAGAGGTGTCCAAACCCACCTGAGAGAGGCCGGAACTGAGTTTCTGTGAGTTCCCCCTGAAGAAAAAAAAGCACTTGTCAGTGAAATCACATATAATTGAAACCCACTGAAAAAGCCTGCAAAACCCTGGTTCCATCCCCACTCTGCCCTGCCCTGCCCCCACCTCACCCCATTCTGCCATTTTAGCAATGTTTCAGTGATGTCTTTATGATGTTTCCAGGTGACTTCCAGGTTCAGCGCAATGTGTGTATACAAGGTCGCACACATATTGAACACACATAAACGGGGGCTGCCTGTGGCATTTAGAAGGGGCATTTAGAAGGGGACAGAGAGAGAGACAGAATGTTTGATTGGATCAATGCACGTTGCTAGCTTTGGAACCAACACATGAGTCAGATATGACATTAATGTGCTCTGTGTATGGGAGTGGGGAGACAGGGGTCCCATCTGCACTATACATTTAAAGCAGTAGCATACCACTTCAAACTGTTATTGCTCTCTCCAAAGAATCCCAGGAGCTGTACTTTCTTAAGGGTGCTGAGAGCTATTAGGAGACCCCTCTGTTCCCCTCACAAAGCTGCAGTTCCCAGAGTCCCCTGCTTTGAGGGATTGATTATTAAACTACTTGGGGAATTATAGCTATGTCAGAGGAATAAGGGTCCCTTAACAGTTCCCAGCACCCTTCAAATAGCTGGGCTTTCACATTACTGCATCGCTTTGCTATGTTTTTAAAGTCCACAGAGGAACATTGGAAGTTGCCTTATACCAAGTCAGATATTGGTCCATCTAGCTTAATATTGGCTATAATGCTTGGAAGTGGCTCTCTAGCATTTCAGACAGGGATTTCTCCCAGCCCTAACTTCAAGATGTGGTGGATCTAACTGGCCTTGCTCCTTTGGATTCTTTCTGGAATGGAATGTTTTCATCCTCCATCCTCTTAGGATGCCTATCAGTTTTTATTGGCTGCCATTGTTTCTGGTACCACCTACTGTTGCCCTTCACCTTACCACACCCAGTTGGGCACCAACCTCCATCTAGACCAGCATTGTCTATACCACCTGGATGTGGTTCTCCAGGGCCTCTGGCCACGGGGTCTTTGCTCGCCCTGCTACCTGACTTTTTCAGTCTCCGGTCCCAGTGTTTGGACCTGGCACATTCTGAATGCTGAGCACGTGTTCTGTTGCTGATCTATTGCCTCACCTCCTTCAGTTGCTCTTCCTTTATGTCTGCATGAAGGACATTTTTTTTCCTCCCCCACCTCCTTCCTCCAAAAGTTTCAACCTGAAGAGATGAGTGTTGTGACAGCAAGACAAATTCATAGAATTACACCCACGGTGGTGAATTTACCTCCTCCAGCCGCTAACACTGGGTTCCTTGGCAGTTCCTCACTCGTATATGTCAAGCTTCTCCTCACACTTGATTAACCCACACAGTTATGGGCCAGCACATACCTCATTGACAAGACAAAGTAAAGTTTAATTGCTGTTATTTTCATGATGAATGAAGTGTTTCCTGTGTGAGCTTCACCAAGTTAGATGATACAGCCATCAAATCGGGACTGGAGAGAAAATGAAATATGAGAGTGACTTTCAGCTGAGATCATCGATCTGCATCTTCCAGAATAGTCTCTTCCCCCACCCACCCATCTCCTGTCTTGGACAAATTGAGGAACCATTAGTATAACTTAAAATCCGTGGGTATCTCTCAACCTCTTCTGACAGAAAGGGCTGACAGGTGTGAAAAATCTGCCAAATTGCTCATATTTTGGATTTATACTGTTAGGAAATAAAATTATAATGGTATTCTGGAAAATTAAGCTTTTTGAAATTAAACACTTAATTTTATTCTGTTATTAAATTTATAATATCTTTCATATTCTTTAGGCACCATAGAGGATAAATAAGATAAAATTTAACAATGAAGACCACACTCACATAATTCAGATGACAGGAACATAATAAGAAAAAGACAAAAGTAGAATTGTGCAATATGCAGTAAAAAATTGAGCAGTCTGTGCAAACATTCTTAGCAGATGATATCAAGGATTGCATAGACCAAGGGTTGTCAGCCTGGTCCTTACCACCCACTAGTAGGATTCTAGGTGGGCAGTAGGGGGTTCTACGGCACAAGCTGAATCCTCCTTCCATCGAGCACTGGTGGGAGGTAATGAAATTTTACCATGAAGGAAGATGCATTAGTGGGCGGTAGGTATAAAAAGGTTGACTACCCCTAGCATAGACAATTAGACAAATTCATGGAGGACAAGGCTGTCAATGGGTACTAACCCTAAGTCAATGTTCTACTTTCATGGTCAAAGGCAGCAATGCTTTTAAGCTGCTGGAAACCACAGGAGGGGAGGTTTCTCTTGTGCTTGAGTCCTTCTTGCAGTCTCCCCATTGGGGCATCTGGGTGGCAACTGTGAGAACAGGATGCTGGACTGGATGGACCTTTAGCCAGAACCAGCAGCCCAGGCTCTTCAGATGTTCACAGATAGCAAAGCACGACTAAAAAAGCCCTTTCCCTGGCTGACACCCACCTCACCTGTTTATAGCCCTTTTGCACAGAAATGTTGATATGATTCACCATGATGTTGTTGCTGTTGCCGTTATCATTTTATCTTATCAAAAAATAACCTCAGAGTGGTTTACATCAAAACGAAACGTCTGCAAATCACGCACACAAAATTAAATATAAAACACAGAAAGACTTTTTAAAAAGTTAACATTATTATTTCATTGAGAGAATGTATTCATTTATAATCTGCTTAATACCAAAACAGACTTTTAAGTTCTCTACAGAATGCAATAAATAGTTAAAACTGAAAGCATACACATCTACACCTGCTTGTCCCTCTCACCAGTACCCCTGCCATTCACCCCACATTAACCATCTAGAGCTTTGCCTTCCCACTCCATGCAACTGCTAAGTTTGCTTTTCTGAAGCCACTTCTGTTCTGCAGCCCTGCTCTGCACCACCTTCACCTCATGTCCATTCCTCCTCCTCCTCCCTCCTTCTACCACCAGCATGGTAATGTACTGCATCTCCCTCCTCCCATACACTGCAACTGCTAAGCACCTCGAGGTAAGATCATCCCCCTATTGTGGTCCCTCCCCCTACCTGGCCTGATCACCTTGGCAACACCTCCCCAGGCGGGATTGGGCAACTGGCTGAGGTAGGCGGAGACCTCCAGGTATCCCACCTGGGGAAGGCGAAGCCAAGCCTGTGCTAATGGTGCTCCATAGGGTCCAGGGGGGCTGCGTGCAACCATGCAAAGATCGCCCCCCCATTTAATGTGGGGAGCAGTCATTATGATGCCACCATCTCCTCCTATTCTGCATAACCTTCAATGTCTCTGCTTTCATCTTTACCCCGTGCCTACGCCGTCTATTCCCTATGCCGTCTATTCCCTCTTTGGGGGGCACTCTCCTTTTCACCTTCAGCCCTTTCCTCCTCTCCTCTTCCATCCTTTTCTCAACTCTCCCTTATACACAGACCAATCCCATTTCCCTGCCACATTCTCCTCCCTATTCTGTAGTCCTCTTTGCATGCACACCCCACAAAGATTTATGTGACTGTAACTTTCAGATGAATGCAGTCTTAAGAGGAAGCCCACAAGTTAGTTTGCCCAGTTAGAGAAGACTCCATTCTTTTGATGGATGTTGCACATATATGAGTGTTTGTTTGGTCTTCTAAATTACTACATTGAATCTACACATGAGGAAGCTAAGAAATGGGAGACGTTTTAAGTACATTGAGAAGGGAAGAAGGCTAGAGGGGGAAATTCATTTTTAACAATGGCAGGGGTTTGAGTAAAGTTGGGATGGAAAGACATTGAGAGGAAAATAGAACTTTTAAACAATAGCAGAGTTTTGAGTAAAGCTGGGATGGGGAAACATTGAGTGGGAGTTTGTTCCATTTGGAGTTTTTGTTCTTAACGTTGAACAAACAAAGAGAAATTGCAGAGATAACACAGAAACCAACAAGCACAAAATATTTTTTCCCAACACCCTTCTCCATGTTCTTAAATCTGCCACCTCCCCCATATCATAGCCACTGCTGTTGTGCATCTTGCCCTCTCTTTTGACTCCCCCACCTTGATTTCGTGCAAATCCAGGATTATGATGGGACACTACAAATCTTCCAATGGGGGCTGCACAGTGGTAGCATTACATTTTTACGTATATAAAAGGAGAAATAAAATAAATAAACAACAGCAGCAAAATTAAATCATGATAATTTACTGCTATTCATGTTTCATTTTGCATATCCAGATGATATTAAAGGGATACCCCTTGGACCATCTCTTCCAAACTGCCATCAAGCATATAACTGCCTTCAGTTACAACCATTTTTATGAGCTATCACATTTAAAAACAAATAAACAAAGCAATCTGTAATATCTATGATCCCACACTATAACCCTAGTGCATTTTCTTTTGGTTTTTTATGTCTTTACTGTAGGTTGGAAATTAAATCCAGTGGTGGGTGCTGTCTATAGTCCAGAATTCTATGCAGGTAAGCAGATACCATGCATTTTGTGGGTGTTTTGGAACAGCTTCATCCCAAATAGTGTTTTTCTTCCATTCCATGATATCTATTAATACACTTGGGAAGTTGAGTTTCAGTGTTGCTAAGTATATAATTGGCATGCATTTTATTTGCTTAAGAAAGGGAAATGGTACACTGAGGAGTGCAGCCAACTAAGTTTTAGTCAGAGCAATTCCACTGAGATGAATAAGCACAACTAAATCATGGCCATTAATTTCAATAGGTCTACTCATATGACTCTGCTCATTGTTGTCTGGATCTTAATAACACGTGGTTTATCTTTGTTCATGACACTGGCTACACACAGTGAGGGATGGGAAGTATTTGATCCCCTGCTAAATATGCCCATTTGCCCTCTGGCGAAGAAATGACCAGTCCATAATTTTAATGGTAGGTTTATTGTAGCTGTGAGAGACAGAATAACAACAGGAAAACTCCCAGAAACCCAGAGGACAAAAGTCAGAGATTGATGTGGTTTTCCTGTTGTTATTCTCTCTCACAGCTACAATAAACCTACCATTAAAATTATGGACTGGTCATTTCTTCGTCAGAGGGCAAGGGGGCAAATTTAGCAGGGGATCAAATACTTTCCTCCCCCCCCCTCACTGTACAGTCCATTCCAGAACTCCGTTTGACATCTAAAATGTTTGGAAACGAAAGCGCGGCTTCTGATTGGCTGCAGGAAGTCCTGTCAGACGTCTGGCTTCCAAAAGAACGTTAGAAAACTGGAACACTCACTTCCAGGTTTTGATTGTTTGGGAGCCAATTTGTTTGGGAGCCGAGGCGTTTGAGATCCAAGGTATGACCGTATTTAGAAGATTAAGAGCTGCACATTACTGAAGACAAAAGGCTAGTGTCAAAAAGAAGCATCCCTGTGTCACATTTTCCCTGGACCCCCCCAATGTTTAGTAGTCCTTGTGCATAGATCAGGGGTGGGGGTGTCATGCCAAGGTGTGTGAGAATATGCCCCTCCCAAGGTCATGGCCCCTCTCCCCAGGACATACCCCTCTAGTGTTTTTGCCTGACTGAAATGAATCCTTGAACTCTGATAGTGCCTGTTGCTTGCAAGATGAAGGATAGAGTGTGTGATTGCCAAAGGCACAATTTGCATGTGTTGCTCCACCTGCTTTTGCCTCTGGCTACTCCCACCACTGGCACGTTATCCTTGGAAGGTTGTTCAGAACTGAACGTGGCCTTCAGGCTCATCATCAGATTGTACATTTCCCCGTGCTTCATACCACATCACTGCCTGCTACTGATGGGGCAAAAGAAATGTCTCCCAACAAGGACTGCAAGTTTGGGCAAATAATTCAAGACAGGGATGACATTTTCTAGGTCAGGTTCTTGTCCCTGGCAACGAGGAGTTGTGCCTGCCAATTATAATTCATTCCAGAGCTTAGATGAAGCTTCACTCTATCCTTCAAGAATTGTTGAGGAATGTATTCAGAAGTCAGAAGTCAGAAATGCCCCATTAGGTCCAACCCAACCCACAATGCCAGAATCAATCCCACCCTCCTCCAGTAAGGAATTATCCAATCCACTCAAGTACTTAATTCATTGTGGTGAATCATTTCATTTTTTTCAAATTTTCTACCCCTCCCCAATGCTACATGCTGTTTGGATAAAAGGAAAGAGCATATAGTCTGTCATCTGTTTGTCTACCTGTAGGTTGGAGCAGTACTAGCATTGCTTTTCTCAACTTGGGTCCCCAGATGGTCTTGAACTATAACTTCCACAATCCCTAACCACCAACCATGCTGGTTAGCATGTCCAAAAAGCAGCACCTTGGGTAGAGCTGGAAAGCAGGAAGTAGGCTCAGTAGTGGTCCCAAGGGCACTTTTTTGCTTTCTCCAGTATAAGTGGGGTTGCCATATTTCAAAAAGTAAAACAAAAAAGGGGGAACACACAGCTTTTGGAGTTATTTCTGCTTTTTCTGTAGCATTGTCATACATCAAGATTTCCCTGACATTTTGCCAATTGCAAAATGACCCTCTGACGCCATTTTTACACCCCAAAACCAGGAAATCGGGAATTTTCCTGACGTGTGGCAAGCCTAAGTATAAGTGAGCAAATCAGCAAAATTCTGTGTTTGGGGATATTGTTCAGGTGAATGCTAGACCCACCTCCAGCCTTGACATAAGGTTGTGTATGTGCCATAGGTGTGTGTGTGTGTGTGTGTGTGTGTATACATGCACATGGGGATGTCTCATTATGCACAGAGGACATAGCACCCCTCCTTGCTAAAGGAGTCTTCTCAAATATTAAAGTATTCTCTTCACGCTGCCATCAATGGGCATTTAGCTAGTAAATAAATTATAGCAATTGTCTTTGTTAGTATAAAAGCAAATCTACTCAACATATAGTTGTATTGCTCCATTAAAAAAGCAACCTGAGCTTCAGTTCACACATAGTTGTGCACAGACATGATGCTACATTCGGCCACCACCTTGCTTTAGCTATGGAGGTCTGGGCCCAATGAAAGGCTCATGTATGTATATATGTATGTATGTATGTATGTATGTCCCTTGGGTGGAATATATAAATGTAAGAAGATAAATTAAACCCTACATGGAGAAGGGTCTGGGATGGTCTGTGTGAAGGAGCCTGAAGATGGAGTCCAGTGGAAGGTCTGGGGGATTGGACAAGAGATTACAAAAAAAGGCAATACAATATCCATCTTCAAATACCTAAATGGCTGTCACATAGATGATGGAACAGATCTGGTTTGTTGTTGTTGGTCTGGAGGCTAGGGATTGAACAATGGGTGTAAATTCCAAGAAAGGGGCTTCCGTCTAACCTTTGGGAAGAGCATCTGTTCAACTGTGAAACAACCTGCCTCTGAAGGAGCTGGTCTCCTCTTTATTAGAGGCTTTTGAGCAAATGCTGGATGACCAGCTGCACTATCTGTTTACTGCAGTATCATATCATTTTAAACAGTCATGCCTTCTCCAAAGAATCCTGGGAACTCAGAGTTCCCTGGGGAGAGGAATTGACTGGTAAACCACTCTGAGAACTGTAGCTCTGTGAGAAGAATGAGGGGCCTCCTAACAGTTCCCAGCACCATTGCTGAAGACTTTCAGCCAGTGCATGCTTCAGTGGTATGTCGTCAGATCATAAGAAAAGTCCTGCCAGATCCGAACTTATGTCCATCTTGTTCCCACAGAAGAGATAGATGGATGCAGCTATTTCTGGTCTTTGTTACTTTTGTATTTTTTACCCATAAGTCCATTCTGTTCTGTTTCTGCATTACTATGAGGTGTTTTTGTTTGCTTCTTAAAGCATCCAAGTATTTAAATTCATATATTAATATGGCTTTAACAGCATGTGGATGTCTTCTGAGAAGTACAATTTGCGTTGTTGTTGTTGCTGCTGCTGCTGCTGCTGTTACAATTTATTAGCCATCCTTCACCCAAAGGACCTAGGGCTGGTTACAATTAAAGCACAATATTACTATTTAAATGCAATAAGATACAATATTAAAAACAGATTAAAACTGCTTAAAATAATAGAAAAAGTTAGTCCTAAACTTATTATTAATATTATCGATTTATGAAATGGGCACTGTACACTAAAGATAATTTTTTAAAAAATTCAAAACTCAAAAATAGCAAATACATTTGAAACAAGACAAAACCCCTGTAAAGATCCAGTTCTCCAGCTAGGAAAGCTTTTCTAGAAAATTGATTCTAGAAAGTGCAGATAGTAGGCCAGCCTACCCTTCTGCGCCAGACAGTATGGGACATGAAGGAAGACTGGAGCAATATCTTGTTTTGTCATACATCTGTCTTCAGCTCTAAATAACAGTGTTGCTGTAACTTAAATCAAATTACTATGTACCCACCTTAGTCAAACAGAGCCCATCCTGAACAGATAAATCAGAGACCTTGGTCACTTGGTAGAAATGGCTTTGGGTTAATGACAAATATCATAATATGCCCATAGTATAATCATCGATTTTTTTCTCTCAAGCTTCTGTTGAATTAACTGTCCAGTTTCTAATTGCCTTCAAAGAGTAGGCCACAAAGAGTTCACATATTTTGAACATTAAAATCAATACTTTCAATCTCTCTAGAAGGTAATTTTCTTAATTTACTGGACTTTCCTCTAACATTTATTTTGTCTCTTAATTTAAAAAATGGCAGGTTATTGATTTTGGCATGCAGCCTCATGAAGTTCCCTGGTGAAATTTTATAGTCAAGCCTGGGGTATTTGGCCCTTCTAATGGGAATCTATAGTTACCATTAGAATGGTATTAATTTGGCAGTGCAAATGATAATGTCTGCCCTGCCAATAAAAGATGTAGAGTTTCTTCTGGTGTTCTTCTAATTACTGGTATGGATGCATGCCTTAGATCAGGAGTGGCAAAGCTTCCCCCCCTCCCCCCCTTTTTGGTTTGAAGGATGCATTTGCTCTTGGGCACAAGCCAGTGGTAGGCGGCGCCAGTGGTGGGCAGAGCAGTGGATGTTAACTGTTACCTTTACACAGTAGACTACACTCCAGCCATACAAAAGCCAGTGGTTTATACAGTGGTTTATACACCCCACACCCTACTCACATGTCTTCATTGTCTCCACCGGCAAGTAAGAGGCATTATCATAGTTCAGCGACCCATTTCAGCCAGCCAAAAACTCTCAAGGAGAGTATAGAGATGAGTGTGGCCTTGATGGAGGAGTAATGAGACAAAGTACAGTAAAGCACACCCACCCACCCACCCACCCCGAAAATGTGTCAGTTTTGAGGCAACAATAAAGTTGACTTAGACCTAGTTTTGTTTTGTAACTGCACATGAAAATCCCTGTGATAAAGGACCTATGGAAACACAAGGAACTTGTTCAGGTCACAGTGCTCTAGTGGAAATATTAGCATACTCCGTTTCCAAAGAAAGAATACTATTTCCAAAGTGCATGTTTAAAATTCCTTTTACAACAATAGATCATCACAGAGCTATTATCTGTTCTTGGAGTGGA